GTGGGGGAAGAGACATCTAAATAGTGTAATAGTGGATTGGTGCTCTTTGGTTGGGTTTACTATGGGCTTATTAGAAGCTGACACATGGACTTATGCCTCATTGACACCTGTCATATTTTGTTTAATTCCTTTGTGAGATTCAGAGATTGTTTCATGAAAAATTGTGAGGGCTACATACTATGTGAGCTATTGAGTACAATTGGAGGCTAGGAGACACTGACACTAAGAGTGTTTGAGTGTCTCGGGTATGATTGTAATCTCTATTGTATTACTTAATCTATAGTGGAATCATGTGCTGTTTTTGCGATGGATGGTGGCCGATTTATTTTTTCGTTCTGTTTATTTTATTATTCGATTGCTTATTTTCGCAATAAAAAGAATTGTTCTGTTGATACTCCATCAGAATGAACCGATAGACAACACTAATTATCGCAACATTCTTTTAATTTGTTTTCTTTCCCCCTTTTGCTTTCATCTAAACAAAAAAGTGAAGAGCCAGCTGGTGGCCTTGGGGAATCTGCTAAAAAGAGAGGAAGAACTAATAATTAAAAGCAGAGCATAGTGTAATTAATTATTGCAACGAGCATATGTGCAGCCAAAAAAAGTGGAGAAGGTAAGCTGCAAGCGCCAAGCAAGCATAAAACACTTTCTTGTCCTCACAATCACGAGTTACATAAAATATTACATAAACAAGTACTTGAGTCGATCTCTACTGTAAGGAAGGAATGTTTTCTGGGCGTGGAAACATTGCAGGACAAGCACATATTTAAGGCTTTCTTGATCTGTTGCTTTCGGGTACGAAATCTCCCCTAGTTTCTGCAGTTGTGTGGACATGGTGCTCATCGCGCTCGAGCGGGGCATCGCAAAAAGGTTCGTTCCCAACATCTCTCCCTCTTTCTTTCTGGTTTTTATTTGCGTACATTGATCGCGTTTTAGTTTTATTTTACTTGCTTGTCTCGATTGAGTATGCGTGTGCCATTGAGTAACCTTCTCAAAATACAGCATAATCTTTCATCCACGTTCTTGCGTAGAGTCTGATCATGCATAAACCAGAAGATGAACAAGAATCGCTCCTTTCATTTCTGAGGGATATGATTTTGACGGTGGTGATTCACTGGTCAAGATCATGACGTCGTCTTATAGTGAATTTGACGGTTGAAATTATTTTTAATGATTTATTCACGTCGAAATCCTTCGTATTGAATCCGTGATTTATCTACTATTAGAAACAAATTTTACGCAAATTTATTGCAATCTCTATCTCATGTGTTCCCAAATATTCCTTGTTATCTGGTTGAGCTCCTGCTTTTCTGTCTTTTATCATTTGCCCTTGTGTTCATGTTTTGTCATTTGCGTGCGAAACTCAATTTACATGAGAGATAGAGGGTTGAGTGAGAGAGCAATTCTTTGTGCTCAGTCCATTCAATCAACGGGTGTAGGACTCTTATGATATACGCAATTGATGGAACAAAAATTCTCCGCCCATTCATCAATTAATATAAAATATAGGGTCAATAATGTTACAGAAGTCAAGCGATCGAACAATAATATGACAGAATAAGAAAATAAATCGGACACCAGATTTACGTGATTCGGTCGTAGTGACCTACGTCCACAGGGAGAGCAGCACGGAATTCCACTATAGATCAAGCGATACAACGGAGATTACAACCACACTCGAGTCACTCAAACACCCTAAGTGTTTCCCAAGCCCCAATTACACCTAATAGCTCACGCAGTGTTTAGCCCCATAATTCCTCACGAAATAATTTTTCAATCTCTCGAAGGAATTAACACAAATTCTTATCACGAGAATTAATCGGCTAAATAAACACTAACACCTAAATGTAATTATTGAACTTCGAAGCCCCAACGAAGAAGTCCTTCTGCACATCAGCCATCGTGGAACAACAAGCACTCACGCATGCGGCGCTTCAAGAATTCCTCGTTGCTCTTGTCATCAACAAGGGCGCAAATATATACTCAGGAAGAAAACGCGGCTGACTCAGAGTTGGAAACCTGGATAATATCCAATTCAGAATATTTAGATTTTCGCTTCGGGGTCAAACTCGAGGCATATTTTCAACAAATAACATTCCACGGGTTCAAAAAAAAGAAATGATGATTGGCATTGCTTTTTGCGCTTTACCACCATTGGCCAGATGTCCTAAATCTAAGGAGACCATGAGTGAAAGACGTATTTGCACCGGCTAGTGTTGTTGGAGATTAGAGTTAAGATGCATTGGTTCAGAAAAATACAAGACTTGGACTGGTTCGAGGGAGGGCGGGAGCTGTGAAAGAAAAGTACTATATAAAATAGAATTGTTCGACGAAGAGGGGTGTGAAATTACCTTCGTAGGGCGATAATGCACTTAAGATACAATTTAACCTCACAAGCTCTCTCAACATGAATACATGAAATTAAAGTATATTTTTTTATAAGAACAACGAAACAATGTGTCTGATGAACATATATAACTTTAGATTGTGTAGAATAGTTTTTTTTTTGTGGTCTGTCTGCACAGAATAGTTGACTTCCAACAAATATGTTAGTATGTAAATTTAACATTTCTTGAAATGGAATTTCGAAATTGTTTAATCACAACTTTTGTCATCAAGATTATTTTGGCATGCTATATATCCATGCTTACTCATATTTTAAGGAACGAAACTTTAAATGTCCTCCTCTAGCATGCCATAAAGAAGAATAATACTCAGCTTGAACATGCCATCACAAGAGTATTCCTTGCCAAGAAACACACCATTCCTGGAATTCACCACCTTGTCGTAGTCTAGAAGAATCTCAAAGCCCTTCTTGCACTGCAAGTTTGCATATACAAAATTCTTTCTGAGATCAGGAACATGAAATACATTAAGCAAAGTAAGTTCCTGCACAGAAGTGAATTTCAATTCCATGCTTCCTTTTCCAAGTACTTGACATCAACATGATTTCCCAGAAGCACTTCCTCCGGTTCCTCCAAACTCTGCATATGTCTTGAATTTTGCTTTGCTGTAGTACACATGAATGGTTGCCCCAGAATATAGCCACCAATCCACAGATTTGATTAGAGTAGCCATATGCAGTTCAGTGATCATATCTTTCACCATTTCTGACCCCATCGCAACGAGTTCATGAGATTCATTCTCACCCGGATTTCTTTGTTGCTATTTTTAGAACTAAAATGCACCATTTTTCGTAGCATTAATGTACGTACATTCCTTGATATAGTGCCCTCATCTTTCCATAATGAAAGCTAGGCCTATCTTTCTTCACAAGGTTAGAATGTTTGTAAGAATTCCCTTTTTTTCTTGGCCGGACAAAACAGCCAACTTCCAACAGACATATTTTGTCTGAAAAGTTAACATTCAGTCAAACCCTAGATGGCCCAAGTGCCGGTCAAGATTAATTTTAATCGGGCCCATCCAATGCGGAATGTCTGCTTGAGACCCATACCTTCAAACAACGCTAACATAGGTGTTCTCATATCGAGACCAAATGTATTCCTTCTATTTTCCTATGTGGGACTCTTTTTTGAACATTGACATTATAAACTTTCTAACAAGCAGGCCGAATGTGGTAGTGACTCACACATGAGAGGGAGAATATTAGATACACATGTGGGTAAGTGTAAAGTTAAATCCCACATTGGATGTCTAGAGTTTAAAGAACCATCAATAATATCTAATTGGCCCATGCAGCGATTTAAACTTTTGATTAAAGGAGTAGGTTAAACTAGGTTATTGGGTTCCAGTTATGGGTTGTTTCTTGGATCTTCAACTATGAAGGAACAGAACTATTTTTTGACATGGTCCTCTTGAAGCACTTAAAGATCTCTCTCTATCCATCCAAGTTAATCACCTTGTGTAGAGGTTCATTCTTAATTTAAAAATAAAGAAAATCATAATATTCGGCCAGTAATGTTTAACTCGAGTTAACAGGATGTTGTGCTCAAGGAGAACTTAAACAATTTTCACGACCAACCTATAGGCATTAATTTGCAATTTTTCCCTCATTGAAGAGAATGTAAATTACATTATCATTAGTAAATTTGGTTTCTTTTTATGTTGACAAAAATCCCACATTGAAAAGTTGAATAGTTTATACTAGTGATGGACCCGTGCCTTCAACATAATGAGAATAGTTATAGATTCAATTATCTCAATGAAACTTTTCTAGAATTAAGATTGTATCGTTTTATGATCTTTTATCATTGTAGCACCTTGAATTTTACAAATCCAAGCCCGCGCCTAGGGTTCCTAAAATCTTTTTATCCTTGATTGGGGTAATTTACCGAAGAAGGATTTTAGTAAGAAAGAGGAGTCGACATCGATCTATTTCATGCCAGACCAGAAACCTTAATCCTAGGGCTTAACAAGAGGGAAAATGTAACGACCCGGTCCGACGAGGGCGGGGAGTGGTCGCCGGGGCCAGAGGGCCTGGACAAGGAGCGGCTCCTGGCAGGCTTCTAGGATGGCAAGGGGGGGCATGTCTCTTGTCCCACATCGCTTAGGGGGGAGTCCTGGACTAGTTTATAAGGCTTGGGTTCTCTACTCTGTGTAACGCGTTTTAAAGCCGTGAGGATCAATGGGCCCAAAGCGGACAATATTACACAGTGTAGACCCCGGGTCCTTACAGAAAAACTAATTGTCCAGGTAAAAATTAAGAAAACAACTGATTTCAAACTATTTCCTAAATGAAAAATCAACCAAAAAAAGAATCTCGTTCGAAATGAGAAATGTAAATTCCCCAAGATCATTATGTGGTGATTATATCATTAGTGGCACCGTTGTTAGTGACCCGGCGTTACTCCAGCAGTATGTGAATGTATACGAATCCTTTTCAAAGGAAAAGCATGGGTAAAAATGTGTGCGGGTAAGGTGCAAGCGACCGTATACACATGCAAGCGATCATATCATAATAAAATTACGTGGTGTCGATGAAAGTGACACCATGTATCCGTTCACTGATGGCAATTGGCACATTTCTGTGTATCTTACAGCCGCTGAGCGAAATTGTTCACTGTGGCATCATCTTTTGTCAGCTTGAAAAAGGATCTTAAAGTCTAATTTGGGGCGAGAGGATCTCTCATCACCTTCTTTTCTCTCCTCATCCGGGGTTATTTCACAAAGACTTTGTCTCAATAATGATGAACAGAACAACCACGCGTGGAGGGCACAATATAACGTACTGTTCTATGGTGCCGGGATGCCCTCACAAATGGTCGGCGTCGGAGATGATGTGTCTCTGGGACAACTGGAGCATTCAACTTTTTGTACTACTCGGCTTGATTTTCCAGATAGTTCTTGCTGCATTAGGAAGCCGCAGGAAAACCTCAAGTGGCAAGACAATCAGCCTTGTTATTTGGGCATCTTATTTGCTCACCTCTTATTTCGCGACGCTCGCGCTCAGCAAGCTCACGACAGTCAGCCTCAACAAGTATGAGGAAGAGTGTGATACCGAACTAAAAGCATTGTTGGCACCTTTGATTCTACTGCAGCTAGGGAATCCAGATAGCATCACCGCATATTCAGTGGAAGACAACCGGCTTGGCGTGAGGCGTGTATTGAACCTCGTCATTACATTTTCTTTCGTAGTCTGGATCCTCAAGAGAAATTGGAAGACCTCCATCCCGATGATACTGTACTTTCCAATATTTGTTGCTGGGATAATCAAGTATGGAGAAACAATTTGGGCGCTCTTTTCTGTGTACGACGAGAACACAAACATGAGAAAAGAGGATTTCGATGAAGAAAAAAAGATGTTCTCTGCATTGAAGAACTTCCACACTCCCGATCTGGATATTTTCTTGAAGGCTTACTATCGGTTTGATTGCTTAAAGCCTCACCTTGTGGACTGGCTGAAGCACCCTTTCTTCATGCCACATCGTAGTAAGTTGATCGAAAATTACAGTCCTAAAGATGTATTCTTGACAACTGATATGGAACTCGGGTTCATGTATGATGTCCTCTACACCAAAGCACCAGTTCTTTATACCAAACCCGGGATCATGCTCCGCATGATCAGTTATTTCAGTTTGTGGTTGACATTAGGCGGATTTATGGGACTTTTCTTTGACAGACACTGGAGGGGTCCGTATGTTATCTACACGTTTGGGCTGCTGATTGGAGTCATGCTTCTGGAAACTTATCAGTTGTTGAAGCTTTTCTATTCGGATTGGGTGATTATAATGAATAGGAACCACCCAATGGTCTTGAAGTTTCTAAAATTTCTTGTCAAACGATCTCTGAAGAAGGAAAGGTGGTCTAACAGAATTCGGCAATTTAATTTTCTGGATTTCTGCCTATCTGAGAAACAACCCTGGCACTTCAAAATCCTTCAACCGTTCGGCAAGGCGGAGAAGTTTAAGAGATATTGGTTAACGAAATCTGTGCAAATTAAGGAGTATGTGAAGGAATTATTGCTTGAAGACATGGAAAAGTTTGAAACAGAGAGAGACCATCAACCCTTCACAAATAGAGGCCAATGGACGCTCAGGGCTCGCGAGGTTCTGGATAAACTCAAATGGAGTATCGAGATGACATTTGATAGAAGCATCTTCATATGGCACATTGCAACCCATGTCTGCTACCTTTCATGCCACGAAAATTCAAATCGTAAGGAGACGAGCAAACTGATCTCAGATTACATGATGTTCCTTCTGGTACAACATCCTAAAATACTCTCTTCGACCACGGCTGAGATCACTTACCATCACACCTACACAAAGCTCAAGACGTTCTTGGATAAATTCCCGGAAAAGGACATCCTGAAAGTTCTATTGGGGCCCGATCCCGTGCAGGAAAGTAACTCCTTTGAAGCAGTTATCACCAAAGGGTGGAATGTCCTTGAGGAAGCGCGGACACTAGCGAGAGAGCTGAAAAGTACAAAAGACACATGGCAGCTCATCAGCAGCGTTTGGGTTGAGATGCTATGTTTTTCGGCGTACAATTGCCAGCTATACCAGCATGCGAAGCTGCTGAGGCGGGGCGGAGAAATCATCACTCACGTGTGGCTCCTCCTTTCACACAGGACAGACAAGTTCAACACCAATAAGTACATGGATCGGGACACAGAGCGCGAATAGAGATGATGGCATGTTGCTTTTGCTTATGAAACTACTTGTTTACAGATCATATTTTCTTCTCAGATTATGCATCGTGGCATACTAGATATGGTCTATTCGATCATTGACTTTCTTTTCGTTTTTCCCTCTTATCCGTTCTCTCTTCTGCCCGAATGCATATCAATATCCTGTAATCTGGTTAAGCATTTGATATTGCCTTGACTTCTCCTCACATGTCTGATTAAACTAATGGAAACAAGATATGGTGTTAACATCGGATTGCTCATTTTCTTGGGCCGACTCAGGACTTAATCTTCAGACAAGTGAGAAGATCAGTTAATATAGGAGGAGAGACATCTAATAATGTACTAGTGGATTGGTGCTCATTGGTCGGGTTTTACTATGGGCTTATCAGAAGTTGACACATGGGCTTATGCCTCATTGATACTTGTAATGCTTTTTCTTCTTGTTTAAATATCTATTCCCTCTGTTTTTATTTAGTCATCAATTAGTTTATGTCAACAAAAATAAATATCCATAGATTTGGAAAGAAACAGGGTTGTGCGAGATGATGTTGGAACGTTATCCTGCCTGCCAGTAAGACCAAATGGATGGTGCACGTTTTCAGTTCTTTAGCTTACTCCTACAATTTTACAGAGATTACGCAATGCACTGTTCTAGGAATTTCTTTTTGTCGCGACCTTCCCGAAAGGGTGTCGGGAAAATGATAAGTGTAGAGGTAATGTTGAGCCGAGGGCCAATAATCATCGATCGGCATGAGTTGTCAGAAATTCTTACCTCACGGGACCTTAGAATTTTCATTTTAATTCAATTAACCTAATTAGAATTCTATATGAGAAAGTTGCCATTAACCTATTGGAGCCGGCTACGAGCCAAGTGAGGCACGGAAAGATACCTCACTTCCTACACAACCAGTGATTTAAGATTAGGGACTTAATTACACTCGTTATCCAACTAATGCCTATTTGGTACCTAAACTTGATTGTTACCAACTAAGGTCTATGCAGTCTTTTTACAAAAATATGAATCCTAAGATTCTGGTCCGCTAAGTTTCCATGCAATATTTTGTTGGTATTTATTATGATCCTAATGTGTGGCCTAACCATCCAACCAGGCCAAACAAAACATGAGAAACTCAATCAAGGAAATGACATAGAAGAATGAAAAAAAAAAAACACATCAAAAGCGATAATAAAAGGGAGAATAAAAGGTGAAATGCAGTAAATTAACCCAATACGAGTCAAGCAAAGACTATAACATGGCTTTGCTATTGAGCCTTAGGACAGCAACCCCTGTGAGCTTGACTATAGAGACTATCTTATCTTAAAATGGGTAATGTGGATTATCAAAACTTTCGGAGAAAAATGAAGTCCTAGGTCGTTACTTTGTCATCCTAAGTCGGGGTGGGTCCTAACCCGACTTTAGGATATTAGGTACTCATTTAGTCCCTCTCAAGTTTCTTCTAGGTTACAACATTTGCACATCACCTATTCAATTGTCTGAGGTGAATCATAAATTCAACTTCTATTTACTATGATTTTTATTCTTTGAAGTGATGTTTCTATACTACTATTTTTAGATTATATTTTCAAAGTAAATCTATTTCATTCTTAAGACTAATTAGCTTAACTAATCCTAAGTGATTTTCAACTATACAAAGAATCCAAAATCTAATCAGTAATGAATGCACCAATCATCAAACCATCAAGTAAAATTGGCCAAAAACCAAGACTTGCTCACTGAGCTACAAATTAGAAAATTTGAGTCGACCCTATCATCAAACACTAAGCATCCTAGAACCTAAGTCCGACCAATTTATCCTCCAGTTATTCTATTCATCTCTTCCTAAGAACTTACCCAAGACAAACCCAGAACTATAACAACATGACCGAAACTCACCACACCAAGATATTAACAATCGAAACTCCTCTCGGTGATACATCAATAATATTGAACATACTTCACTATCAACCGCCCATGTTCATCACAAGATTCACGCCATCAGCTACCGCCAGTCCCCATCGCGGACACTAAATCTTTCAACACTTCCGGCCACTGGGCACAGCGTGAGCAAGACAAGTGGATAAAAGAGAATTTGGTGAACAAACTAGTGAAATGAGTTTAAGGATTAATGCTCAGTCCGTAGATTTCATGTTGTTTCTGTGACATTCCGAAATTTCGCTCATTTGGAATTTATGAAATGAATTATTTTATTAATGTACTTGTAGCTAGTTCTCGCCCGAAACTGATCATTCCTGGGATATTAACCTATAGAGAAAGGCTAATTAGGGATTTAAATTCGTACGACTAGAGGAATTCGACCGTGAACTGAATTTTGACCATAAAATTATCGAGGTGACATTTTGAGCCAGTGTAGGCCGATCTTAGAATAGTGATGGGCCGATTCGTCACTATCATACACGAGGATCACGAGTGATTCCGTTTGACCCCGAAATGAATTGACGAACGATCCCGAACTTATTCCGTACGATCGTACTCATCAGAACTAGTGATTGATCCTCGTGATTTTATTGACAACCAAAGTCGTTACGGTCTAAATAAATTGCACGTGACTCGATTTAGTATCAGTCACGGATCGTATAGATGAAATTCCCCAAAAGCCCCGTTAGTTTGAGAAACACTCAAGTTACATTATATATATAATTCGATTATTGATTAGAGACCAAATCGGGCATCGGAAAATTAGGAAAGTTACGGCAGGGCGTTTGGACGACGTTGTAGTTGGAAGGTGCAACTCGGGATTTCTTCGGAATTTCTTCGGGATTTTCAGAAAAGTTCGATTTCGGCGAGAAACAGAGAAAGTGACCATTTTACCCTTGGGAATTAATAAAGGGTTAGTTTTATGGGCAAAAGGCATTTTTGTCATTTTGCCCTCAAATTTGGAAAAGACAATTTTGCCCTTGGACTTTTTGAGAAATTACAAGATTGCCCTTGGATATTTTGGATAAGATTCGATCTGGGCCGTCGATTTCAAGATAAGGTCGAATCTGGACCGTCGGATGAAAAGATTAGAGAGGGGCATTTTGGTAATTTGCCAAGTTGGTCAAAATTTGACTATTTAAGTCAAATTTCTCTCTCTTTCCTCACTCATTTCCCCTCCCCCACGGCTCCCTCTCTCTCTCTTCTCTCCCCCTTCCACCATGAGCTCCCCCTCCCGCCGTGTCGCCGCCGCGCCGCCGTCCGAATCGCCGCCGCACCACCCGTCCGCCGAGCCTCATGCCACCCTCACCCCACCGTGACTCTCTCTCTCTCTCTCTGTGATATCCTGAAAATTCGACCAAATTTGGTGATTTATGAAATGGTGATTTCATCAACGCTCTATTAGTAATTCTCGCTCTGGCCTGATCACCTAGGGAATACTAACCAAAGGGGAAAGGCTATTGAAAAATTTATTTCTAGCAGCCGCCCGTTAGTTCGAGATAAACTATAGTTGCGATTGATCGATTTCAGCCACGAATTATGATCCAATTTTGTGTGTCAAGTGCTCAAGGATATCACACCCGAACTATAGGATGTCGCCTCATAATTTTTACAAATTGGCCATAGAAAATTATTTGCTAACTTGCCCTTCTAGAAACATTTGTGTTAGATTAAATCTTGACCGTTGGATGGAACTTGGAGGGCAAGGCTTGATCTTGGCCGTTGGATTAAACTTGGGGAGTAAGAACACATCCTAGCCCTTGATCTTTGCTTGGGTATCAAGAACAAATCCCAACCATTGATCTTGATTTAAATTTAAACCCTATTTCTCTCTCTCCTCACTTTCTCTCCTATTCTCTCTCTCTCCCTCTCTCTCGGCCGAATCACCCCACCACCGCCGTCCATCCACCAACACCTTCACGCCACCATCCTTGAGCCCCGTAGATCGCAGTGTGCCGTTCACCGCCGTCTGCCACTTGCCGTGTCAAGCCAAGGCCGCCATAGACAACTCGTGTCGTTGCCGTCGTCCTCGCGTAGTCGTCGTTTTTAGACGAGTAAGTTAACATCTAATCCCTTGTTTAGGATGTTCAACTTGCATTGGGTAGTTTAGCTAGTGATTGTTTTAGTGTGTTTAAACTTCTAAAATGAGCGTTGGCGAGTCTTGATGGCTAGACTAAGTTGAAATAGATGTTGGATGTTGATTTGAACTGTTGGTGTGATATTTTCATGGCTGAGAAGTGGTGGATCTCAAAGTTGAAGGCGTTTCTTGGAATTTTTATCTTGATTTCAGAACTGATTTTTCTGTATGTCCCTGGTTTTCCATTTTTATAAAGCATTTTGTGGTTAGAATCTTGAAAAGTGTTCTTCATAAAAGTTGTTCACAAGATCTTGATCTAGAACATACTTAAATTTCAGATTTTTCTGAGCTCAAATGGGTTATACGAAGGCCCCATTTCTTACCGAATCAGAACTGTTTTATACTGTGGAATCCGTGACCTTCGTGCCTTCTCAAATTTTTAAAAAAAATTTCAGTTCGATTTCGACCATACTTCCTTCACAAGATTTGTAAACGAAATCCATGTCTACAATGTGTAAAAATTTCAAAGTGTTTTGAAAAGATTTGGCTTGTAAAACGAGTATTTCTTGAGGTTCAGTTCCCCTGTTCCGGTGGACCAGTTCTGGGTTGTTTCCGAGCCATCAAAAGTGATCTTTGTATAAGGATTTTGGGATTGTGTTCTTCATGAAAAATATTTGTGAAGGTCTTGTTTATAACATGTTCGAATTTTACAACTTTTGGAAACCATTTGCTATACTTTTGAAGTTGATTTCCGAAATCATGCAAATCTGTCCAGTTTTACTAGAATTCCATAATCTGCCGGTCTTTACTTGAAATCTTTGGTTTTTGATTTCCGGCCTAATAGAGACAGTAACCACAATTACCTAACTTTTCAATAATGTTTATTTGGCTGTGATTCGATGTTGAATGCTTTTGGTAAATTCATGTTTTAAAATGAGATTCACAAAATCGATTGACCGTTTGCATGTGTGACCACTTTTATTGTTGTGTGGCATTGATGTGAGCACGATTCATGGATGCATTGGCTAAATGAAAAGATAAGAATTGGCCTGAATGCTTGTGTGCT